TATATATATATATATATATGTGTGTGTATATGTATGTGATGCGTGTGCGTACATGTGTTGGGAGGGAGGGGGGTAATTAAAAAGTTTGTAAATATTGCAATTCAAGTTATTTTTTGTTTCTCAAACTTGAGCAGTATTATTCATCTAATTTAATATTATTAAAATTTTTATTGTTTAAATATTATAATGTTTTATTGTCTAACTTTTAATATCAAAGCAAAAACATTTAAAAATTGAAAAAATACAATTTATCTTTCGCATTGAATATTTCAACGTATTGATATCAGAGCAAGAGCACATTGTAATTTTAATTCCATTTAAATATATATATTAAAGATGTATAAGTCATAAAATTAAATTTTACATTAAAATATTACAAAAATTAAATTTTACCTTTTTTCTCTATATTTCAATATTGAGAATTGCGGTATATTTAAGCAGTAAATTTTTTAATCTGTATTTCATTGATTTATGATTGTTATTAGGTATAAAATAAAGCAAAAGAAACATTAATTTTTGTACATCTTTGTTCGATCGCTATGCATTATGCGAGGTCCACTCTTCGGAAGCATGTGATAGAATAGAAACCGTTTCGTGCTGTATCCCTTCCTCTTTTCTCCCCGCCTCACTTAGTCGACGCTTGATTCTCCCCACCATCGGTATGGCAACCAATCACTGTCGAGACAGTTGTACCGGCTGGGCCTATAAAAGTAGGATGAAAAATCAGACGCGCTTAATTCTCGATCGACTGTCGTTCTGTGACGTTGTATCGCTCTTGGTAAGAAGATGGCTCGTACGAAGCAGACCGCACGTAAATCTACCGGAGGCAAGGCTCCCCGAAAACAACTGGCAACTAAAGCAGCTCGTAAGAGTGCTCCTGCCACTGGTGGAGTAAAGAAACCTCATCGTTATAGGCCTGGAACAGTAGCTCTTCGTGAGATCCGTCGCTATCAGAAAAGTACTGAATTGCTGATCCGTAAACTGCCATTCCAGCGTCTCGTTCGTGAAATCGCCCAGGACTTCAAGACTGATCTCCGTTTCCAAAGCTCGGCTGTTATGGCATTGCAGGAGGCTAGTGAGGCTTACCTCGTTGGTTTATTCGAAGACACCAATCTCTGCGCCATTCACGCCAAGCGAGTTACCATCATGCCTAAAGATATCCAGTTAGCTCGTCGCATTCGTGGAGAGCGTGCTTAACTTCAAAGTACTGCGAAAAAAAAACCATCGGCCCTTTTTAGGGCCACCAATCTTTTATACGAAGGGTTGTCTCGTTCACTTACTATATTCCTTATACCTTTTAATTAAATTTTTTTATAATATTTCATTATAACTTATGTAGTAGCTATCAATTTTCATTTTTACATTAATAAGAATTGTATACATGTAACTACTACATATTTTATCAGTTTTTATTTAAATTATTTATAAACATAAATATTTTATTCAAAAATTCATTCAATTAAATTATTTCATATTGTTTTTTTCGATGTATTTTTCAAATATTTCATTTTTCTTTAAACTTTAGAATTCTTTAGATCAAACGTTACATTACGTACCTATTTTATTAAAAATTGAATTCTCTAACATCATCTAACAAACAAACTTTTTAGACACAATGAAATATGTAATAAAATATTTCGATCAAAGAAACATAAGAGATTTAAAAAACCTGAATTAATTTAACTTTCAACTTCCGTACAAAGGCAAGATGAAATTAACATTTAAAAAAAAAATTTAAATAGCAAAACAGATTATAAATTTTTCTGTAGATAAGGCCTTATAGTTAATCAGAAAAAAAAATCATTTTTTATGTCATCATGATATTGAGAAAAAAATCAAACCTTGAAATCGCCTTATTCTTTTTTCTCTAAATGCAAATAAATGAAATTTAGAGTTTAAAAAAACAATTTGATAATTTAAAAGATACTTATTAAAGTTAGAAATAATACTACATAAATTTTAAAATAAGTTAATCAATTCGTATATAATTGTTATATCGACTTCAATAGACTTTATCTTTTGTTTGTTAAAATAAAAATTTATAAACTTTATATAAGAACTTTTCCAAAGTTATTGATTGAATATTACTTAACTTTCGATCGTCTCAATATTTTATATGAATCAAGCGAATCGACATTTAGTAGAGTTGCTTTTTAGATACATGATCATATTCTTATGAATATGCCGATTTGAAAATATAATATATTTATTACAATTATATTTAAATTTTGTCACTCATATTTAATGCGAAAATTACATCTTCCCATATATATTTTATGTATTTTATACAATTTCATACTTTATACAAACTATCTATCGATGCTTGCGTATGTCATAACCTCCATAACCTTAAAGCTTTCTATATACAAATATGAACTCATTAACTATTTAATTTATATTCCATATACATTCAATGTAGATTTTATCAATTATGTGAATATATTTATAGCAGTTTTTGTTTCTATACTATTACTATATTTATTTCTATACTATATCTATATTTATTTTCATTTAACACAATATGATTGAAAATTAATAAAAGAACACTTCATTTAATATTTACAACGATCAAAAAATCGCTTTAAGAATATAACAAGAAAAAAATTCAAATTCTTTATATTGTAAAATGCATTATTTTAAAAGTGCATAAATTATAGAATATCAGGAGATGTAAGGTAAGTTGTGCTAAGTTTACACGTGTCAAAATTAAAAAATTTTATTTGAAATAAAAAAATGATCATGCTGTTTAGTTAAGATATTTTTTATGCTTTTTATGCTTGAAATGTCGGATGTAAAATCTTTTAATTTGAATCAAATGTAAATTCTTTTTGCAATTTGTGTGTGCATATGAAATAAGATAGCAGACTCATTGTAAGTCGTATGAGTTTATAGCAAACAAAAGTTGTTCCAACATTGAAATATTTGTGGCCCTGAAAAGGGCCGATTTAGGTTGAATGTCCACCGCTCTTCGCTTAACCACCGAAGCCGTACAGAGTTCTACCTTGACGCTTCAGGGCATAGACAACGTCCATGGCAGTCACAGTCTTCCTTTTCGCGTGTTCGGTGTAGGTGACAGCATCGCGAATAACGTTCTCGAGGAAGACCTTCAACACACCACGAGTTTCTTCGTAGATCAAGCCAGAGATACGCTTGACGCCACCACGTCGTGCCAAACGACGAATAGCCGGCTTGGTGATACCTTGGATGTTATCGCGAAGAACTTTCCTGTGACGCTTCGCTCCTCCTTTTCCCAACCCCTTTCCTCCCTTTCCGCGACCAGTCATCTTGAATCTCTAAGACAACAGATACCAACTGACGCAAGAGCAGACGAATGACGACTCTTGCAGCGAAGCCGGCGCTTTTATACCTTCTGGACTCGACTTTCCCCCACCACGTTAACGCTAGCCAATCGGAGTGTACACTCGATTTCTCGGCCTATATGTGGTACATACACTTATACCGTTTTCCATTATTGTTCAATTATTCATTATTCGATATAAACAGTATATTCATTTATATTTATCAATTTCAAAACATTGCAAAATGTGAAGAAAAAGAATATGAAATTAGTATAAAAAAAATTTGACTATTTTAATTTAATATCCAATAACATACAAACAGGATTTCTAAGGCCCAATATTCTGAATCTTTTATAAAAATGCTTCTAAAAATATCTTATAATCAGAGGCTACTTTTAGACGCACTTTTATCGATAGAAGAATTCAGAATGTATGAGTTAAAGTATTTAAATTTTAATGATAAAGGCAATTTTTTACAAGCAATTCAATACATTGTTGTATTATAAATTTTATTAAAATATTACTTAAATTCACTACTTTAATGCACATTAATGCTAAGCAGAGAAAATTGCTAAAATATTACTTTTTTTGATAAAATTTGATGAAATTTGCTCCACAAAATGCTTAGTCAATAATATTAAAGCTAAATCCACTTCAGCCATGATCTATTAATTAATAAAATTAAGAGACTAAAGTTTGGTATACATTAACTGTTCAATTAAGAAAGTTAAAAATGAAAACTTTGTCTCCGAAGAGGGAAAATGAGCGATACGATACGAGTATTACTTGGCTACGTAGCGTCTACCAATGGCGTTGCGGCGATACAGGAGTTAAGCGTTGCTCGTGTCTGATTGGTGTTCCCCTACCAGCATTTCTCCCTATATATAGAAATGCACGGCAGTTCGAGCGACATTCGATTCTCGAACTTGCCTCTGTGCGTTTCTTGTACGAAGGTATCCTGTGAGAAAATCAACCATGCCACCAAAGGCTAGCGGCAAGGCGGTGAAAAAAGCCGGGAAGGCTCAGAAGAACATCAGTAAGACTGATAAGAAGAAGAAGCGGAAGAGGAAGGAGAGCTACGCGATCTACATTTACAAGGTGTTGAAGCAGGTTCATCCCGACACCGGAATCTCCAGCAAGGCTATGAGCATCATGAATAGCTTTGTTAATGATGTGTTCGAGCGCATTGCGGCCGAGGCGTCACGACTGGCTCACTACAACAAGCGCTCCACGATCACATCTCGGGAGATTCAGACTGCCGTAAGGCTTCTCCTGCCCGGCGAGTTGGCCAAGCACGCTGTTAGTGAAGGAACGAAGGCGGTTACCAAATATACAAGTTCCAAGTGAATTGCTATCACAGAAACGGCCCTTTTCAGGGCCACCCAATATTTTATAATGTTGGACATTCTCTTATGTTTACTTAATTTTCCTCTTCCACAATTTTTCATTTATTTGATTTATGAAATAACTTGTACTATTATTAAATTATAAATATCGATTTAAAGACATTATATTAGAAATAAAGGATATTTATGTGATTAAACAATTATCAGAAGAGAAAATAATTAAAGATAGAAATGATATATACGCATACGTGATCGCACTATTCGAAATTTTCTTGTGAAATTTTTTTTTTTCTTATGTACAATTCTTAAGAAAATATTAGATACATAAAATACTAAGAAGAATAAATTGATTAAACATTTTATATGCTTACGTAAAATTAGTTTTTTTCGAAATTTTGAAGACGTTAATAAAACAATTGAATAATATTGCGAATACATTTTTAGATTATTCATATAATTATTCTTTCATTTGCTACAACTAAATTCATAAATGAGTATAAAAGATATTTTTTATGTCTACGAATGTGACTATAGTAAGACAGTATGCCCAGTAATAATAATAATGAGCATAAATCTTGTTACCGATTCAAATGGATAAGTCAGGTCTCTGCATTACGAACAGAATTAATGCATATCAATATATGTAATTGAAGCTTGTAATATTGGCGTCTCTGGTATAGCTGCGTTGCGGTCCACAAAAACGTTTCGAGCGTTTGGTTGACCGGTTTACGTGATATAGGTTATGTTAGTATATTTAAGGAAGACTACCATGCTTTTGTATTTATAAGTCAATATTTTCTCTTTTTGCTCAAATCTTTTCTATCGCTCGTAGACCTGAGATCTTATAATTTCATTTCGATAGTCTGTGTAATTCTTTGTAACGGAAAGATTACATATTATACATAACCTCTGAAAATGTCTGACGACGAGGATTTGGTTTATGTGAAGAAACAGAAAACTGTTCATTATGGCTCGCTGGAGGAAGCAGAACGTGCACGACTTGCAGCTGCCGTTGAAACTACAGACGAAGAAAAGGATGTCACAAATACGAACGATGCTGCCAATAATACCGTCTCATTGGGAAATGTGCACATTTCAAATGAATATATGGAATTGGAGGATGAAATGTCCAAAGATCGACAGGCACTCTTGGAGGAATTTGAACGTAGAAAAAAGGCCAGACAAATTAACGTTTCCACAGATGATTCCGAGGTAAAGAAACACTTGAGACAACTAGGTGAACCAATTTGTCTGTTTGGAGAGGGCCCAGCCGATAGAAGAACAAGATTAAGAGAATTATTAGCCAGCGTCGGTGAAGATGCTATAAAAAAGAAGCACGAGGAGGAGGAAAAACCATCTTACCCAATTGAAAAGGATACAGAGACAACCTGGTATCATGAAGGTCCAGATAGCTTGCAAATTGCACGTTCGTGGATAGCATGTGAGGCCTGATTATATGATTTTATTCTAAATCGTATAAATATTTAAGTTTTTATCAGATTGATATTATGAACTATTTAATCTTTATATTTACAGCGTATTCGTTACCCAGAGCAAAAGTACGGCTAGAAAAGGCAAGGCAGGATTTACAATTACCAGCTGCAGCTCGTACAGCAAAACGACAAGAACTTTTGAAGAAATTACAAGCATTAAGCATTTACTGCTCGCAAATCGGGGATAGGAGACCCATCTCGTTTTGTCAATTTAGCCCTAATTCAAAAATCCTTGCTACAGCTTCATGGTCAGGTTTATGCAAACTATGGTCTGTACCCGACTGTACTTTGTTGCGCACTTTACAAGGACACAATTGTAATGTTGGCTGTATTGTTTTTCACCCAAAAGCTACAATAACCGAAGATGTGGTAGGCGAAAACGCGGGACAAACTTGTGTGCTAGCATCTTGTGCAGCAGATGGTATGCATATTATTATAAATAATATACCAAATTATAAACTGATTTATTGTCCTGAATTTTACAATAGGCAGTGTGAAACTATGGAGTGGTGGCAATAGCGAAGAACCATTAGCAGAAGTGGAAGGACATGAACCTCACAGGGTTTCGAGAATAGCTTTTCATCCATCTGGACGATTTCTCGGCACATGTTGTTATGATGCGTCTTGGCGATTATGGGATTTGGAGCAACAAGCAGAAGTACTTCATCAAGAGGGTCATGCTAGAGCAGTACATTGTATCAGGTATATTTTTTTGCATATGTTATTTATTATATATTGAGTCATATTTATTATGTATTTATATATTTATTTAGTTTTCAATGCGACGGCAGCGTTTGCGCTACAGGCGGTCACGACTCTTTTGGTAGAGTGTGGGATTTGCGTACTGGTAGATGCATAATGTTTATGGAAGGTCATTTAACGTCCATTTTTGGCATCGATTTCTCGCCGAATGGTTTCCATGTTGCGACGGCGAGCGAGGATAATACCTGTAAGATATGGGACTTGCGAAAAAGAACTTGTATATACACGATACCGGCACATACCAATTTGCTATCTGATGTCAAGTACCAGAGAATAGAAGGACAATACTTGGTTACCGCATCTTATGATAATACAGCCAAAATTTGGTCCAACAAAACATGGCAGCCTCTCAAGATGCTACCAGGCCATGATGGAAAAGTCATGTGCGCCGATGTATCACCTGATCATAAATTTATTGTAACTAGTTCGTATGATAGAACTTTTAAGCTATGGGCCCCAGAATGACAGATTTGAAAAAAACATTCCTTCTCAACGGACTGTGCTAGAGATAATAAAATTTCTTTCTAGCATTTACAATTCATAAAATGTTACATAAGCATGTAAATTATTAATGTAAAACGTTACAAAAATATCTGATTTACTTGTCACACATATTGCAAATTTATAAAATTACCATATTAATTTTATATTGTAATTATATAATTTTATCTAAAAATCTAAAAAAATATACCTGAAAATAATGTCTTTTTATTTATATTGAAAATGTTTTTGTATATTTTTTGTTCTAAATATACACTACATTCGGACCCATATTGGTTTATGATATCATAGATGAAAAATGACAATAAATTAATTGTTACATACAGCTTTATTTTTTAATTTTTCTTTAAAAATATAATACTTCATGATCTTTCCTGAAAATTATAAAACATGCGAGAAATTCTGAAATTCTGGGACATCTGTCCGATTTATCTATCATGTAGTGTAAAATAATTCCCGAAATAACGAATCATTCTTCAATCATGCTCAAGCAGCCGTGACGATGATTATTATTTCAGGAATTCTACGTGACAGAGCGAATAGATGTTTTAATTTCTCGCACCTTTCATAAGTTTCAGAATCATGAAATTATTATTTTAAGAGAAAACTAAAAAATAAAGCAGTAATTTGTTGAGTGTCATTTCTCGTCATAAAACCGATATGGCCGTCATAAAATCGAGCTTTAACGTTTACTCGTTTTGGAGAAATATGTTTTTCGCAAAATAGATCTTTTATAATCGTAATAAACTTTTGACGTTATTTATAACTGGCAGCTGCCTGTTTAATAGGCTCACTGCTGTTGTGTCAACGTTTATATCGTTTTCGACAAAGAATCGCGCACGTTAATTGCAAGATCCGAACTATTGTGCCGAGGTTTGTTGAGTGCATTTCAAGATGAGAACTGAAACGAGATTTCGCTACTGTTACGTTATTAACAAACTTTCTAGAGATATTTTGAACACGACAATACTTCAGAACTTCTGTTATGAACTTTGAATCTTTCTGACAGAATCTCTCATTTAGGTTTAATTTATCTTCCTCCATTTACAATTGTACTTAAGTTTAACATTAAGTTTAAGTTTAACATTAAGTTTAAGTTTAAATTTAAGTTTAACATTAAGTTTAACATTATATATGAAGTACGTTTGCATATCGATAAATATATTATTTCTGGAATTATTTATAGTGAAAATATAATAATATATTCTGCGTATTTATAATAATTTATATTAATTTATTAATATCAAGTGAATCGAAGATTACATCTTTATGAATCTAATAATTATTCTAAATCTATTACATAGCTATGATGTCAAGTTTTTTTATTTCACAAACGCGACAATTTCGTATTTTATAAATATTCTCATCAATAAATTCCATCGCTTTAATTTTAAATTTAGATTTGACATAGCAAAAATAATTAAGTAGGACTTTTGATGATTTATTCGTAGCTTATGTGGCTGAGTTGATATCTTCCTGAGATTTATATTTCCCGATATGTATCATTTATTTAAAGAAGTTTAGTATCTTATGAATGATTCTAGCCATCCCGAGATCACAAAGTTTAAAGCGATCGAATCACGCTGATTCTGTGAGAGGTAAGGCTTGATGAAGCCAAGTTTTGCTGCCTCCTTCGGCGAAATCCGCGGCCGCGTGTCCATCGCCTTTCAACATCCATTTTGTCGTTAATAGTCCATCTACTCCTACCGGACCACGTGCGTGGATACGTGTCGTGGAAATACCGACCTTAAGAAAAATTATTTTATGTCAATTATTTAGGCTTTCCATCGTGTCAAGATGCATTATTAATAATGCATTATTAATGTTAATGTTTTGTACAAACATTGCAGTCCCTTTTATCAATTCAATGTCAGTTAACGATTCACGTTAACAATTAGACGCGGTTTCGAGCAATTTTAAAGAAGGAAATTTTTTTAACGAAAAGACTAGTTACATTTTTTTGTGTCTTACCTCTGCTCCAAGACCGAATCTATAACCATCTGCAAATCTGGTGCTGGCATTATGAAACACACACGCACTGTCAACCTCTCTCTGGAAATGCATCGCTGTACCGGTATCCTCGGTGACAATAACATCGGTATGGCTGCTACCATATTTATGGATGTGATTGATGGCATCATCAACGTCCGTAACTACTTCTATGGTACATTCGAGTGCGCCGTATTCGGTTCGCATGCTTTTGGCAGCAGGCGGACCAAAGGTCAATAAATCTCTTAGCTTTGGCCCGGAGTTAATTTTTACCTGAAGGATATTCTTGAGTTATGTATATGAAAAATATATTTATAATTAAATAATAATTTTTAATTATTACAACGAAGAGACTTTTAATAATTGATTTGGAATAAAATAACACACACAAAAGTTACTTTCGTTTATATTCCGAAAAAATGAAAGTGTGAAAGTCAATCTTTCCTATTCCGTCCTCCAAAGGAGCCAATATATGTCTCAGTTTAACTTGAGTATAAACTTCTGACATTTTACGAAATCCCAGTGAAAAGTTTCATGATGAAAGTTCGATTTACGAACGCGAAGTAACACGAAGCAACACGACACGAAACTAGAAGTTTCTAGTTTCTAGTTAGAAATGTAATTCGTAATTCTTAAAATTTTTCGAAACTACTACCTGCACGGACAAATCCTTTGATTCTCTTTAAAAAGCTAATTAAAAGAGATAAGAAACTGTATATACATTTTTATACCCGAACAAACAAATCGAATATAAATGTCATATAACGCATAGATGTAAAACGTGTAGATTTTTATATATGTTATATGACAAATATATATGTGTTTGCCAGATATATTTTAGAATTTTTTTTATAAAATACAGGAGAAACTAACTCACCCCTTCTTTATGCAACATGCTGCACACGTCGCTAAAGAAACTGCCGCTCATAACATTTTCATGTATCAGCAACGTCTCCATAGCGTTGCACGCGGCGGGGTAATCGCACTTGGAATCCCTAACGATCCTCATCGCCTTCGTTAGATCCGCGTTCTTGTCGACGTAAACGTGGCAGATTCCCTCGGCGTGACCCAGGACGGGTATATGCTTAGACTGTTCCTGGATCGTACGAACCAGCTCCGAGCTACCACGAGGGATGATGAGATCTATATGTTTCTCCATCGAGAGAAGGTCGCCCACGTCCTCCCTCGTTGAAACGAGCGAAATTGCGTTTGAAGCGCCGAACTTGTCCAACGCCTCCTTCACGAGTATCATTAGGTACTTATTGCTCTGAGTAGCCTCCTTGCCGCCCTTCAGGAGAAGTCCGTTGGCACTGGACATGGCCAAGGCGGCTACCTGAGGCAGACTGTCCGGTCTGGATTCGAAGATCACTAGCAGCACGCCGATGGGCACCGTTACCTGCCGCAACTCCAAACCGTCGGCCAATCTGGTTCTACGGATCACGCGACCCACGTTGTTCAACGAGCTGTCCGCGATCTGACGTAGACCAGAACTCAGGGACTTGAGTTTCGCCGGTGTCAGGGACAGACGTGATAACAGTACTGTCGCCAAATTGTTCTTACTCGCGGCATCCAGATCCAGCGCGTTCGCCTCGAGAATCTCGGGCTGCCTAGACTCCAACAAGTCCGCGAGGGTTGTAATACATTCGGCCCGTTCCTCGGGGCGTAACGCCTGTAGCGTTCTACTGCCAACGCGGGCTGAAATGTTATTCCACACGTTTGTAATTTCGTCAAAGTGATAATAATTAATAAAACAAATTATATTAGCGATTTAGTGATGTTTTAGACCTCGGTTTTGGTCCATTCTAAATTTTACATGCGTTTCTTTATCTTAAAGGTTCTTAAACAAAACCTTGAAATCTTGAAGACGAAAGATAAAATATTACCATTTTCGGCGACCACCTCGACGGGAGTGGACGAGCCGGCAGCCTGCGTGAAGAACGTTCCGATCTTCCTGCCCGACATGATGCTCTTAATGGCTTTTTCCTGGGTGCCGTTGCAGATGACCACTGCAACGCCACGGTCCATCGCCCAAAGAGCGGCGTTAACCTTCGAGTCCATGCCGCCCGTGCCTACCTTCGACTTCTGTCCGAACTTGATGGTATCCCTAAGGTCGGAACTGAAGGTATGCAGCATCTTCGCGCCGTCTTGCCAGGGTGGAAGATTATAGATCCCGTCGACGTCGCTCATGAGGACCAACAGGTCCGCCTGGACCTCAGCTGCCAGCATCGCTGCCAGGGAGTCGTTGTCCTTGATGGATATTCCTCGTCTGCCGCCACTACCGGCGACCTCTTCGTCTACATCCGGTGGCGGGGATACCGCGTCGTTCGTGTTGATGATCGGCACGATGTTCAGGCTGATCAGCTCGCTCAGGGTGCTGAAGAGATTTTTCCGCGTCTCCTCGTTGTAGAAGTCGGGCTTGGTCACCAGCACCTGGGCGATCTTGACGCCGTACTGGGCGAACATCGCGTCGTAGAGAGACATGAGGCCAGACTGGCCCACCGCGGCAGCTGCTCTAGGTTCCAACATAGTTCCTGCATGAATATAGTATCAAGGACCGTAAGTTACCGAACGTCCTTTCTCTTACTTCGGGGAGGCTTACAATGCCGACGGAGGTGGGGAAGCAGGGAAGAAGGGAGCCTGCGGAACAACGCGAGCGATTCTTGAAACAGTTGGAAGCAGTTTTTGGGAGACTCTCGTCGCAACGAGAGTGACAAAACAAGCGGATCATTAGTAAGACGTCGAGGAAACGTGCATCGTTCTCGAATGCGTGCGATCGATTGGACGATGCACTCGACAAAATTCACAGGACAAACAGAATCCCGCGGGAAATTCGTCGTCGGTCAGTCGGTCGTTAGCTCAATCTATACAGACATACATGTATAAACAGACCGGACGTTGTCATTGGCAGGTTGCCCCAGACAGATATTCGGATGTTAGCGTTTTTCCCGCTTGGATATTTTTACAGACAGTTAAATTTACGGACGATCGATTTGTTTCCTTTTTCTAGAAATCCTCAAATGGTTATTTATGGTCATTTCAAGAAAAAACGCTTGTTAACGTCTCTGCGACGGTGCAATTTATTGAAGAAACTTCTCACTGTTCTCTACTGTTCGTTTCAGGTAGCACATGCGCCACTTTTCTTTCGTACATTTTTAATTTTGTAATGACTGGTGAGATATTAAAAAATATATATATGTATAATTTTCAAAGTTGACTCGCTCGTCTGTCTCGTAAAAATATCAACATCTCGCATGTGAATTGTTTGCGATATATTGTCTCTACTCTCCACACACGTATACTATACTAAATCAATGAATCGTTAGTGAGGAATAGCATTGATTACAATACCAATAAGAGCATTTCTATCGTACGTATATCTACGTATATCAACGGAGAGGAAATTCGTTGTTGAGGAAGTTATTGTTTTCCTGAGGATCGATGCTATATGAAATATTTGTTTCCATCCGAGAATAATAATTCACACAAGGAATAAATTATCAAGAAACACGTGGCAGTGTATCTCGGTACCAAAGTATACGCGTTAGCACGAAACTGACAGTGTATCTTCATGCAAGCAGCTGCAAATACAGATTCCTCTGTCAAAATACTAAAATTATAAATTATTTTATCAAGAAAACGATAATTCAATAATTTTACACTTTCATATATTTGAGATTTATTTTTAGAATCTTTAAGAGTTTCCGATGTTTAAAATATTTTAACATCAACAAAGATGATAGAGCAGTAATTTAATTCTATCTCGATTGCTATTACAATATAATATTTAATTTTCTAATATTATATTTTATGCTGAAACTGTACTGTGATCATGTCGCATATACATTCGTATAATATCTGCGTGATATATTATAACTATATATTAGCAGAATGTAGTCAAGAATGTTTATACAGTATATTATTTCTTATTCTTGAGATATACTTAGAATATTCACACGGTATAGCTTTATATTTATTCTCAGGATGTACTCATCCTAAGAAAATGAATGTCATTTATCGTATATATTTTCAGGATGAAACTTGAGAATCTCTTTGTTACATCATTATATTTATCGATTTTCTATCGGTTTTGTTCATTTTAGAAAAATCGGATATATTTCATTTCACAAAACATAAAGAAATGGCGCCACGTATTCGCTCCTTATGTTGTCTTGAAAGAATATTATTCAAATAGGTAGAAATTAATTGTTCTGTACACACAGCTTGTAATATATAATATATTATCTCATTAATGCCAATTATACTATATATTATATATGTGATATGTAATAAATAATTGACATTAATGAGAACGTTATTGATTAGTACTGTTATTCGAGCGGAAGTCTTACAAAGGAACATAACGCAAACTATAGGATTATTATATTCTGGTCTCAATTATGCTAATGGCAGTTTGCTCGTGTATCTACATACACCAAAATCCACCTCTTATCATTCGCGCATGAAAATATTAATTAAAGCAAGCGTCTATCGAATACGTAGCATCCTTGATATCGTATCTGATAGACGAACGTGTATGTGCGGAGGAGGAACATTAAATTGGCATACTCCCGCGCCAATTATCACGTCCAACGTTGGCTTTTCAGTGGCCCGTCTTGCAGGAAGAGTAAAGGAGATGAGATTCATTACTTACGAAATAGGTCAATTTGAAATTTAGGGACTTGTAAACAATAGCCTTTGAGCGCGGGACATCGTAGGGTTGGGGGCAAGCTGCATTCTTGTAAAATTATGAGATATACACGGAAGCATAAATAAAAGCAGAAGCATACGGCAAATAAAAGTAAAGTCAGCAGAATTTTTCAGTACCGATCGATTCTTGTCCAAATGGAAAATAAATCTATCGATATATCCTCTCATAATTATTATCGCGAGGTATAAACGTTAGTATTTCGCTAATTATTCGAGCGTAGTTATCTCATGAGCTATTTTTTATTGAGGATCAGGAAATAATTGTCGAGCGATATGCGAATAAAAAGTGAAAGCCCTTAGAAAGGGCCCTTAGAAAGGGGAAGCATACCTGCATGCTCCCGCGTGTGGTCCGTTGGGCTCAGAGTCTCTCTCATCGACATGGACATTAAAAGCTCTTGGGTGAGCTTTTGCTTGCCAAAGGCGACCGCCCCGCTAGTAACCATGACGCATTCGCGGCCATCGATCTGGCATTCGGCTACCTGCTCGACGATAGACGCTAGACGTCCGAGAGCGAGGCCGTGTTCGTCCTCCCTGGTTATAACGGCGCTGCCGAGCTTGATTACCAGCCGACGGGCGTATTTCAATTCGCTGCGCTCCGTAAAGGTCTGTTGCCTTCGTGGCCTCTCTGACGTTTGTAATTCCCTCCGCACGTACCCTTGCGACACGCCATTACTCTTGAAAAGTTTTTTTCATGACAAATGAGATAAAATCGCGATAAGGAAAGAATGGCTGGTAAGAGAGAGAGAAAGAAGAGAAGGTAGGAAGAGAAAGAAAGAGAATAAAAGCCCTGAATAAATTATCGTTTCAATGGGCAAGAGATTTATTATATTAAACATTGCCTGACAAATACTTGTTAGGTGTGAGTAAGATGTTATTAGTTACTCCGCGCGCTCTGCGCTCGCGTTTTCGCGAAGCAAAGAGGTCTAGCATTGTTGGAAAGTTTTGAGACTTCATCGAAGAAATTATGAAGTTGTAACGATGTAAGACATTAGTAGAGATTAGTAAGGAAGAGAAAGAGAGAGAGAGAGAGAGAGAGAGAGAGAGAGAGAGAGAGAGAGAGAGAGAGAGAGAGAGAGAGAGAGAGAGAGAGAGAGAGAGAGAGAGAGAGAGAGAGAGAGAGTAGAGAAGAGTAGAGAGAGAGAGAGTAGA